CCCGCCGCCCCCCCGCCGCTCCCCGCCGCGCACCGCACTTCCGCCGGCGCCGCGCGTTGCCGCGCGACGGTCCGTCCCTCAAAGGCGCCCGTCCTGCCCCTCCGGCCGGCCCGAGGGTTCCGCGCCTCGCCACGACCTCCCTGAGCGCCGGCTTCCTCTCCCGGGGCGCCGACGCACCTGCGCCCACCCTCCCGGGGTGAAGGCGCCGCGGGACCCCGCGTGGGGTCCCAGAAGGAGCGCCCCGGCCCCGGGCTGGTCCCGCTCCGCCGTCAGGCCCCCTATTCCGGGCCGCCTGACGGTCGGCAGCGCGCACAGGGCCTGGGAACGGCCCCGACGTCCCTCGAGCGCCTGCTGCACTCGTCACACCCCCGCCCACGGGAACTGGGAGGCACCGCGGGGACTCCATCCGGGCGGATGTCCTGGTGATGGGCAGAAACACCAGCCACCAGCCCGCAGGTGCAGGTCCAGGCTCTGTCCCCTCCCAGCTCCTCCTCCGGGAAGACCCCTCACCGGGCCCAGACTCACCGGGAGCCCCAGCACCGGCCCTTTCACGACTCATCTGTAAATGGCAGGGAAGTGCTACATCCACGCTTTTTTCCCACTTTTTTTAGGCAGCAAGAGTCTGTCCTCATAGGAAGGCTCCCCTGGACCCCCATGAGCTTGGAGCTGTTTGGTTCGGTTTTCAGAGGAGAAAACGAGGCCCAGACAGCCTTTGGAGTGGTCTCACATGGGGAAGTGGGAGAGCAGGCACTGAGACCCCAAACCTGGCCACGTGCCACCCCCACTCCACCCCGGGGAACTTCCAGGGCCACCCCTCTGCTCTGCTTCCCCCTTACCTCCACTGGGCCCACAGAGGGTGCTGGAGGCTCAGGACTGTGGGCACCTCTGAGGTTGGGGTCACTGAGGAGCCGCACCCCAGCCCAGCCCAGCCACACCCACCCTGCCTGTCTGTCTCTGATTAGGAGGCTGGGCTGGGCCTGGCAGGAGATCCTGCCTGGGAATGTGCTGCCAGCTGGCGCAACACGCCAAGGATCTCAAGGCTTCAGCTGCCGGCCCCAAAGCTCAGGCCTCCTAAGACCTGAGCCAGCGGAGCCAGGGCCTGAGTGGACGTGGGGGGTGTAAGTGCAGGGGCCAAAGAGACCTGGAAAGGGTGCAGCTTTGGGAGCTGCAGCTCTCACGGGGGAGGCTTGGGAGGCAGCTGATTCATGGCTGCCAATGAGAAGGAAATCCTCCACACGAAGAAGGCACCAAGGTAGCCCAGGGCCAGGCCTGGGAGGTGCTCAGGGTCAGGAAGGGATGGCCAGCAACCCGGCTATTCCTCCCATGGTGGTCCAAGGGCCCAGGGGCTGGCCCTGGGCACAGTAAGGGCACCAGTCAGGCCAGCTCCTCTAGGTACCCGTACACCTTGAGGTAGCTGTCCTTGGCATCCGCCATCACGAGCTGATCCTGGGGCACACAGGCCACACCCAGGGGCCACCTCAGCCCCTCAGAAACCAGGCAGATGGGTAGCCCAGCATGGAAGAACAGGGTCACCTGGTGCCTCTGTTGATTTGCCACAACAACGCTGCCCTCTGAGTCAGAGCACACACCTGCTGGGCTGCCAAACAGCTGCACGTTCCCAAACTCCTTGCTCACCATGTGGCTGTCAGGCCCTGGGCCCATCCAGCAGGTGCCCTGCAGAGCCAGTATTGAGGCTGGGGCCAGGTGCTCCCAGGTGGGCCCAGTGTGAAGCTGTGCACAGCCACAGGCACATAGTCTGTCACCAGAAGGTGACCGAGGATGTCCCTGGCCAGCCCTTGGGTGGACAGAAAGGTGCCCACCATCACCCAGAGGTCCTTGGGGTCATGGACAGTGTGTGGGAGTACACGGACAGCCCCATGGATGAGGTCACTAACCACCATGAGCCCTGAAGCTGTGACAACGACATCCTCTGGAATGAAGGCCCCAGTCCCTGGAATGTGGCAGGGTAGATGGCAGACAGAGCACCCCTCCAGGTCCAGCACATGGACACAGAGCGCAGCCCTGGCTGTCAGGAAGGGTAGGCCATCCCGGGAGCAGTGCAGTCTCAGAGGCCCCCCACAGCCCCTGCAGGCTCCAGGATCCACCTGAGCAGTCAAGGTCGCTGGGAGCATGTGGGGTCTCCAGGCAGGTCCAGCGTGAGGTGCAGGCCCTGGGGGCAGCCAGCAGGTGGAGGAGGTCCAGAGGGTTGGGGAGATGACGGGATGGGAGACCAGAGGGCAGGTGGGCAGATTGCAGCCTCAGCTTCTCTGCATGTGGGCTGCAAGAGAGATGATAACACCCCACTGTGTGCCAGGCGGAGTCTGAGTAGGTCCTCCTAGTGCCCTCCAGGCAGTGCTGGTGTTCTCTCACTTTACAGAGGCAGAACCCGAGGCACGGGGCTAGGGGCCAAGCTATATTCCAGCTCTCCTGGTCCCCAAGCCCAGCAGCCACGTAGGAGCTAGATACCTAGAACAGAGTCTGGAAACACATGAAGCTCACTGTGGGTTTTGCTCTGAGCCCCGAATGAGCTCACGGGCATCATAGCATCCTAGGGTGGTAGTGAGGTGGCAGGGGGAGTATCGGATGATCAGCGTTTTTCGGACTCGTCTGTCCGCCGAACCCCTTCCTGCTTGGGGGTGGCCTAAGCTCCTGTCTGTCACCAACACGCAGCTCCTCTGTCTGTGCCCCCAGGTCAGGGAGACTTCCAACCCCTGACAGATGAAGTGGGGTCTTTTCCTAGGGCTCTCCCCCAGCTCCCATCCAGAGAGGCCAGGCTGGGAAGGGTCTCCTACCTGGGACCAGGCTCCAGGGCTGGGCGGTTGCAGCCTCTGTTGTTGTAAACTAGAACCTGAAGGAGTAGGAGCCACCCATAGGTCCCCACCTGGGACGCAGCTGGGCATGAGTGAGGGGGAGGGGACATTCTCGGGCCATCTCCACGTTTGAGCAATGGCCCAAGGAACTTCTGTAAAATATAAATCCAGTCCCCCGGGGACAACCCGGTGCTGCTACATTCCTGCCTCAGGGCCTTGGCACAGGCCTTGCCCTCTTCCTGGACATTCTTCCCACCGCCCCGCACGGCCCCCCATGGCCCCTCCACGACCATGTCAATGCCGTTCATGGGCTTGTGTGAGCCAGGCAGCCCCAGGCCACTGCCCCAAGCAGAGCCATTGTGGGAAGGTGACCTGCTGGCTGGGTCACTGCAGGATTCTGGGGTGGGGGACCTCCGGGAGGCCCACCTGCCTCCCCTGCTGGGCAATGGGGCAGGATGGTACTGCCTCTGCACCTGGGAAGCTGAGAGATGCCGCCTAGTGGTGGATAAGAAATAGGGGTGTAGTGATCACGTGGGGTGCCCAGGGGAGGCTGAGGAGGGGGATCTCCCTCAGACTAAGGATGTGGGGATCCTCCCGGTGCCTCATGGCTCTGTCCTTGGCCCCAGCAGCCCCTCCAGGAGGCCTCTGAGTGGAGGGCACCCAGCCTGCATGTCTGTGACCCATGCACACCTCGCCTGGCTGCCAGCACCCAGCTCTGGACACTGTCTTGTAACGCCTTGCGGCAGGTGGGGGGTGACTGATGCTATCGCAAGCCAGGCGCGGTTAATGGGGCGGCTGCAGGTCCTGCTCGGACTGGCCCCAACTCGGCCAGCCCAACCCCAGCTTGGGAAGCTGGGCACAGGCAGGAACCAAGCCTCATCCGAGGGCAACCTGAGCTCTGGGGGCTGTTCCTGGGTGGGCATGGAGGGCATGGCCCAGCTTCTCGGGTGAGAAGTGACCAGCTGTGGCTGGGGGGTCCCCCAGGCACTCCTCCCTGCCCATCCCGACCCCTGCCTGTGGGAAGGGCAGCCTGCTCTGGGAGGGAAGCAGCGGGCTGTGAAGGCCACCGATGCCTATCTCGGCTGCAGGGGCTGGCGGGGGCCCAGCAAGGCCACACTGGGCAAGCAGCCCCAAGCCCCGGAGCACAGGGCTCCACTGAAGGGCGGGGGATGTTGGTGTTAGCGCTGCCTTGCTGGACTCAGGGCTGCAGGATGTTCAGGAGTCCCTGTCTACCCCCAGTGCACTGAAATGCAGGCTAAATGGCCCTGGCAGCCCCCAGACCACACATGCCTGCCTCTCCCCCACCCCCACTCAGTCCCCTCTGCTGAGATGCCCCCCAATCCCACCCCAGACCCCTGCCCCTCAGGGAAGGCCCACTCCACAGGAGGGTCAGGGCAGGTGGTAACGCTGGGGTAGAGAAGGAAAGAGGCCCAGAAGGAGAGAGTGAAGGTGGTTTCCACTTTAATGTCCATAACTGTGATCAATAAATACCTGCAACCCCACTGTCCCTGCGTGGCCCCAGAGACAGTCTTGGCCACAGGCCAGTGGGGGTCCATCTGCATGCATGCTGAGACAGGACAGGTCCTAAGCCTTGCCCATGGGGCTGGGGCAGGTAAGGGGCTGGGCAGTGGGGCCAGGGTTGGAGGAGCAGGGTCAGACCTCGGCACCCGGAGGGCTCTGCAGGCCAGCGACACCCTCAGGAGTCTGGGAGCTTCCAGCCCCAGCACAGGTGCCCCAGCTATTGCCAGGAATGACAGGATCCTCTGGGGCCTGGAAGGCAAGGCCCGGGGGTGGGATGCTGGAGTCGGCCTCACACTTGGTGGTGTGGCCAGCGAAGGGTTCAGGCACTGTGGGGCCCAGCATGCCAGGTGGCTCAGGGGTCCCCCGGGCCAGTGTGAGGCCCAGCTCAGGCTGCCCCCAGACCCCTGCAGGTGCCTCAGATCCCTTGGTGGGCACCCGTTTCACAGAGAGGTCGAGGGGTGTGTCTGGCGGCCACACAGCCTGCTCAAGCGCCTGGTGGATGGTGAGCAGCTCGCGGCGGATCTTGCCCAGATGCTCCCGCAGAGGTCGTGGGGCCAGGCCCCCAGCGGGTGCCAACTGCCCCAGGCACTGCTCCACCTTGGCATAGTCGTCCAGGGCCCGGGTCAGGTCCTCACTCACGTGTCCTGAGCTGCTCAGCACCAGGCCCTGTGGCTGCAGGGGGAGGGGAGCCTCGGGGCCTGGGGTCTTGGGGTCGCCTGGCTCCTTGTCCTCATGCCAAAGCATCATGGAGGGGCCGGTGGGCAGGCTGGGGGGCAGGAGCTGGTTAGGAGGCTGCAAGGCCCCCACAGTACCCCCAGCCCCCGCCCCACTCCCCCATGGCCCCAGGGTTAGAGGGGAACAGTGCCCAGCCAAGAGCCCAGGGATCCCCAAAGCACAGATGGCTTGCTCTGTGGGCTCAGTTCCCCTCTGTGGCCTGGAAACCCTATTCCCAGCAACTGAGCTCAGAACGGAGCCCAGACCCCTGCCCCTCTGACACCCCCACTCCCTGAACTGGGGGCCCGTGACACCCACCTGCTCTGAGAACCGAACTTTGCCAGGCTATAGGGGGTCTTTTGGAGCTCCAGCCTGCTCACCAGGGGCAGCTTCCTCTTGGGATCACTCTGGGCAGCCCGCTCTGGCTGCCCCTCCTGCCCTGGGTCCCTGCAGGTGCTACGGGGCCAGGGACCCCCCAGTCCCAGAATGGGCACCTTCAGCAGGCCAGGGGCCAGAGTGCCGGGGGACCCCTTGGGGTGTGCAGGGGGTTTGGCGGGGGCAGCCTTGCCTGCTGGCAGCCCGAACATGTGCTCCAGGATCAGTGGGTAGTACAGGCGGGGGGCCAGGGCTGGGCGCTCGGGGGGCTGTGGGGCTGGGAAGGCTGTGGCTGGGGGCAGCAGCGGGCTGGCGGAGGCCAGGAAGGGCATGTGGGTCGCGGTGGCCAGAGAGGGCCCCAGGTAGGAGAAGAGGCCGGGGCTCAGCGGGTAGTTGATGCCCAGCAGAGACAGGTGGAGGCTCTGGCCCTCGGGAAACTCCCCTGGGGCAGGCGGTGGGTAGCAGGGGACACTGCCCTCAGGGCCTGCTGAGGCCATGTCCCCCATGGCCATGATCCTTGGGCCTCCGCCCAGCCCTGGCTTCCATGACTCGGCCAGGAGCCCATTGTGGCCAGGACCCTTCTGGGCAGCCTTGGCTTCAGGGAGTGGCAGCCCTGGGGACCCCTCGGCCCTGGGCTTGGGGTCCCCACCACAGCGGTGCAGGGAAAGAAAGTCAGTGACCACGAGGTCAGGCATGGCAGTGGCATCGGGGAGCTGAGCTCCTTGGGGCTGGCTGCCAGGGTCCGCAGGGCCCCCGGGGCCATTGGGAGTGGGTGCGCGGGGCCTGGGTGTGGTGGGGGTGCGGCGGCATGCCCAGTCTGGGGAGTCGAGCAGCAGCGAGAGGGAGTCTTTGCAGAGGCTGTACTTCATGTGGTTGTACAGGTGCGACTTCTCCAGGCAGGTGAAGGGGCACTGGAAGCACTTGTAGTTGTAGGGTTTGCCCCAGGGCCGCGGGATGTAGTGCGGCTTCTTGGGCTTCCGCGAGCGCGCCCTCACCCCCGGGCCCGAGCGGCATGAGCCCGCCTCTCGAGACATGGCAGCCTGCTAGCGGGCAGGCCCAGACACCATGGCCACCTGCAGACGGGGGCCACAGTCAGCACCAACTCTGGCCGGCACTCCACCCCCCTCCACCCAGGGCTCCCATGAGTCCAGGGCGCCCCCGCCACCTCTGCCCCGGCAGACACTCAACCTGCAGTTCCTCTCCACACACACTCGGGCCTCGTTAGGCCCGACTCAGATAAAGAGCTGATAATATTTTTTAGCATAAGTATATGGCTGAGGCAATATTTGGAACATACCTAAAAAATTATTCATTCTTATGTGAAATTTAAGTTTAACTAGTATCCTGCATTTTATCAGGTGACCCTACCCAGATCCCCAGCCCTGAGGCCAAGCAGGCTCCCGCAGGCTGATTTCTGCGATAATTCAGTCCCACAGCATCTCCCCATGGCCGGCAGAGCCTGGTTGTTTGTCCAACCCCCACAGCCCAGCACCAGGCAGGTCCCCAAAGAGCATTTGATGAGTGTCTGAAAGACGCGAGTGTGACCAGGGCTCACTGTGAGTGGACACCAGCCCCTCCTTCCTCACCCCCTCCAAAGACCCCTGCCCTGGCTGAGCCGCCTGCCCTGCCGGGAAGCCAAGATAAAAGCCACTGAGACGAGAAACCTGCAGAAGGCTCTGAGTGTCTGCACAGCACTGCACGTGTATGTGCATGCACACGCCTGCTCCAGGTGGGCACTGGGGGGTCTGTGAGGGGGTCGGCCTCACGTGGGGCCAGGCCAGGCTGGGGGGAGTGGACGTCACAGCACAGGCCATGACACAGCCACCTGCTCAACCCGGCTCCATCTGGGTGGCTTCAGGCAGGTCAGTGGCTGAGCCCGCAGCAGTCATGCTCAGCCAAGACCCTCTCCCCTATACCCCACACGCTTGCTCAGAAGCTGCTCCACACTCCATCTGGGCCACCACCTGGGCTTTCCACCGCCCCAGTGCTCTCGCCGGTGTGGGGTGCAGGGCGCGTGTGTGGACACGGGCTTTGAGTGTGTGCACACAAGCATACAAGGCTCCCGAGGAGTCCTGGCACAGCGGTTGAAGGAACAACCTCTGCACTGCTGAGCCAACTAGGAACAGGGTGTGCCACCAAGTGTAGCAGGGCCTGGGCACACACACTCAAGCATGTCATACCCTACACAGAGTGGACACACCGCTCAGCCATGAGAGCACACTCACAGCACACCCACCTGGCTCATTCAGACAAGCACACACATGTGCACACACACTACACCCCTCCACCCAAGCACACACACAGATGGGGTTGGGACTCACGCGTGGTCATGGACACCCTCACAGGTATGGACAACATACATCCTGCCCCCCAGGGCTCATAAGTGTCCGTGGGTCAAGCAGGGCAGGGGCAGCCGGGCAGTCACTGGGCTCAGCCGTCCTCTGTGCTGGCCATCACAGTCTGCCCACAGCAGACAGTTAGGTCTGCTGCCCCCAAATGCTGAGTGGGCACCCCTGTTAGGGGGACAGCAGAAGGGTGGAGAGGGCTGTGCACCCATGGGCTTGGGGACCTGCAGAGGGGTCGGGTGGCCAGAGTCAGGTTGTGGAGAGTGAGGCAAGCAGAAGCTAACTGGTCTGTGGCCAGGAGCGGAGCTAGTGGTTGGGAGGAGGAGAGGGTCTGAGGCTCCCTGAGGGGCTGC